TTTTCTCTGCTCTTGTTCGGCTGATAATAATTGCTGCCATCTTGCCACTCCGACTTTATCAAGTGTTCCAACAAAGATCTATTCCTTATGATGGTGGTTCTTGTGACTGAATTTGTTGAGTTTGCCAGTATCCTGAAAAAAGGCCGTATTAAACTTTCGTGATATTGTCCGCCCCACTGTCGAGTTCATCTGCAGTTTCATTTTCATATAAGTGACCACCAAGTGGTCTGAAGCTTGGTTCTTACATGCTCGATGGTACTTCTGGACTATTTGTTGATGCACATGTGTAGTGTGATCCGATGGAATCCATGTACCTTCGTGTATGAGTTCGTGTCGGAACATGTTGCCGTCTATAACTGTCCTGTCTATGGCACATAGGTTTGCTAATCCCTCACCGTTTTCGTTCCTTTATCCCAGTCCAATTCGTCCCATGATGTCTTCATATCTAGTGTTGTCCATTCCAACCTTGGCATTTAAGTGTCGCTTCAGTATGGTCAAGTCTTTTACTGGACATTTCTCAACGATTGACTGCAGACTCTCGTAGAATTGATCTTTGATGTCCTCATTGTAATCGTTGGTAGGCGCATAACATTGTATGACGTTCATTGTAATGGCCTCTTTGTTTGTTTTGAAGGAGCATTTGATAATTCTGTGTCCATGAGATGTCCATACTATAGGTGCTTTTTTGAACAGCATCAGTGCAACTCCTTGTGTATGTGACGCATTGTCTTCTTCATGGCCGGAGTATAACATCATACCTCCTGAACTAGTCTTCGTTGTCCAACCTGTGTCCAATGTATTTTACTGATTCGAAGCAGCGGAGTTATATACGCCTTGATAATATGATGATAACTACATGAATTCTCAAGTTCTACACCTACTGGTTAAAACAACTCATTCAACTAATATAGCTTTGTTCGATGGGGTTTTGATTCCCACTTGTTATGGGAAGGTTTGTGGCAACAATATGTGGCTATTCACACAATGAATTAGATGAAACAATGTGCTAATGTGAAACATGATCTCTGCAAAATGTAAACGTGTCGAAGATTTTCCATCGTGCATACTACTGAGTACCAAACTGAGGCAAAGCATCTGCCCATTGTCTCTTATTTTCATCTGTCGTTAATCCGTTTTCAGTGCATGACGGATTCAATTATTACAACCGCATTTTTACTCACCCTCTAACTTCCTCAGGATGTTAATTTTATCAAACTGCCGAGAGACTGCAAAATATCCCCAACGATTTCATTTCTCTTGTGAGGACAACTATTACTATATGTATCTTCATTTCCATCATTCCTAAACATACATTGACCTCAATATTTCGCAATTCTAATGATAAGATGTCAGTCGTATGATTCTTGCATTTTTAAATTATTGCATGGTTTTGAGCCAAACTTTAAGTGGTACTTCCTTATTTCCGAGAGTGAGGAAGACAGAGGTGTAATCCTGCGACTGACAACCAAAACTAAACGCCTTAACCTGTGAGCTGCCAATCGGTTTGGTCTGGTCCGAAATGAATATTGTCTTCATAAACTAAATGTGTATTGGTTCTATGTATAGCTGTTGCCGATATTCACTTGTTTAATGCACATCCTATTTCCTCTTTTCTTTCTTCCAATATCCATAGAATACAACATCATGTAAGCTGTACAATGCAAAACTCACATTAGATCTTGTGTATTTTAATGAAAGTTCATTTATTTCTGCAACTAAAAGTTGTTGTGGTAGGTAGTGTGTATCTGTTCGTATTTTTATATTTTTGTTCATTGATTCCAAAATCCAGGTTGCTTTTTTGTTTATATGAGTTTAACATTCAGTTCATTCGGTAACCATCAAATAACTAATAAGAACTGATCTCAGGTAGATCTCATTACAGTCACTTAACAGGTGATTGTAAAACACTTGACTGTGTTGAGATTTTGTGATCATTTCACTTCATTCGAAAAGAGTTACGAATATATATTCGATTCATAAGTTTCAAATCGTGTTTTTTTATTTACCTTAAAAGTGATAGTTTTTTTTTCGGACAAATAATAATACTACTGTTCACCATAACTCCTACCTACAAAGTTAATTAAAGTATGATTTGATCGGTGATGAGTCTTTGACGCGAAAAGAAACAGTTACATTGTGGAATGACCTAATCTATGCACATTTGTTACCTGAGTATAAGGTGTTTCAACAGTAAATATCTACAACCCTATTGAAGATCAAACATGAGAATTTTAAGTCTGGCGGAAAGTTTGTAGATATGGTTTATTGATCAATGACAATCAAAATCATGTGCATAAAAATTCATTTAACAACTCAATCATTTATTCCAAGTCTAGATGAGAAATAGAAATACTGTTTCTCATAAATTGATTCAAGTCATTAATCGTAAGCTTATACCTTATGTCTTCTATGAAATAACTGCGTTTCGAATAAAAAACACGTTGACCAACAATTTTCGATCACTTAAACATTCTTGAGGCATTCTCAACTCCATTATTGCAAATACTAAAATAATGATATTCTTATTTGCAGAAAAGTTATGCAGTTATAATCTAACTGATTAAAACAAATACTACCTTGAAATCATTTATAAATCATTGTCAAACAACCATCAGAAACCTGGGAATCTAACAATAATTCACTCACGATTTCAGAGTAAAACTATCATCTCCCCATAATACTCTAATGCAAAATACTAATAGATAAAAGTAGTATCTAGCAGTAGTATTATTTATTTCATTTATTTTGCTATGTTAAGAAAGAAAATAAATGTAGGTGCTAAGCAATTTCTCCAACTAAAATACGTCTTGTTCGACTGACTTTTAAAAGTCCGCCAATAACTAATATTCACAATAGCTACTTAAATATTCTTCAGTAGCAAAACTATTTCAAATAAAACTATCGTTGTTGACAACCACATAGATTATTTTGACAAACAAAAGGTACTTTATATTATATAGATTGATTCAAATGAATTATCTTTTTGGTTAAAAATTGTTATTCTTCATTTACTACTAACTGATAATTTTTATTTAAAAATTACTTGTACATTTCTTTTCTTTTCGAAATAAAATTAATCTACGTATTTTTAAAATTATTGTTGTAATATTTATTATACACTCAATTTACTATGAAATTGAATTATTTCAAATGAAACTCAGTAAAACAAAAAAATGTCCAAGATATTAAAAATAAACTAATGAGTGACAATGAGACGTTTTGACTTGTGTTATTTTGATAGTTGACAGCTAAAATTTAAGGTGAGTCTGACTAATAACGGGAAGAAATTAAATTCGAGCTGAATATTTGCCTAGTCGCATAATTTACATCACGAGCTGAACTTATTCAAATAGCAGTTAAAAACTCAAAAGTATGAAACCTCTCAGGAAGGCGAATCAACGAGCCTGTTGACGATCGAACCCAGCGGATTGTATGTAGGTTCATTCATATTCACAAGTACACGAACTTGGTACTATTGTAGTGAACGAGAACACAGGTGGGGCAACCGGATTGTATTTAACGAAAATTACAGAGTTACTCAGTAAAATTGGAAAACCATATCGAAAATCGTTAATTTGCAAAATATCAGTTCATCATATCGAACTGGACTGTTCCTGTTGCAAAACATCAATCCATTGTCACTACTATTCATGCGTTTCATACAAATTCCATTGTGTTCCCACTCTTCCTTTCTTGATCTTCCCCCATCTTCTGCTGCCAGACATTACGTTGACACTCACGTCATATACTACTCATAAGTAGCTCGCACCACATTATTATTGATTACAGAAGATCTGGGTCCGCAGTACTAAAGACGCTTAAGCTAATCAACATAACTTTCTCAGTATTGAACTGATAATATTTACACGGAATAACCAACCAGTGATCAATTAGTGCGAGACCATGTGTGTGTGACCATGTATTTAAAAATGTTACTAACTTATTTTTGGTAGAAATTACTAATAGTGTAATAAAGAATGTTGTTATTCTATCTTTCCATATTCATTAAACCGAGGTTAAATGAACTGCTCCAGCATAATGAACTCCATGGATAA